CCTATATATATATATATATATGTGTGTGTGTGTGTATATTTAAAATAGCTTGTCTTGGTGGTCGTGTTGTCCTGGCTGAATCGTCTCTCTCTCTCTCTCTTTCTCTTTCTCTCTCTATTTCTTCAAACCCTGCAGAACAATTCGTTGAGAAATCCTCCTGCGCCCAGCCTTTGAGTGATTTATCCAGCCTGGATCCTCACGGGGATTTTAGCAGCAGCCCTTCTTCCCTGTGCACCGAGCCCCTCATCCCCACCACCCCCATCATCCCCAGCGAGGAGATGGCCAAAATCTCCTGCAGCCTGGAGACCAAAGAGCTCTGGGACAAGTTTCATGAGCTGGGTACCGAGATGATCATCACCAAATCCGGGAGGTAAGGCTGGGCAGCCCCGGGGTTTCCCTCTGGGCATCTTTCGAAAAGCGGCTTTGGACGGGGATAAAAACGTCAAAGTTAGCGAGTCCCCGCAGTTCTTTTGTACGGGCAGAAGGGCAGGGCTGGGTTAAGGCGAGGAGGAGGAGGAGGAGGCTGAAGCCCCGTTTTGCCCAGCCCGGCGCTGGGGGTGCGGAGCCCCGCGGGGCACAGGGAGAGGCGGCCGGGGCCGGCAGCGAGGTGCGGGCAGGCTCAAATCCATCCCGGCCAGCCTGGCTGCAGGGAAGAAGTGGCGCTTCCCTAATAATCAGGTCTGTGACTAAAATCCCGCGGTGATTTCGAGGCGCTGGGTCGGTGCAGAGCGAGGGAAACGCGGGGTCTCGATTCTGTCAGAGCTCGCTTTAGTTTGTTCTTTTCTCTCTTGCAAAAAGACGCAAAAGAATTCCAGGCTTTCTTCTTACATCGAGCTATGCCGTTTTCTTCAGTAAAGCTTGTGGGGTTTGGATCAGTCAAACACAGTCCGGAGGAGCCAAATATCTTTTCGAGTTTTTTTAATCCCCAAAGTTACTTTTTATTAACGGAGTTGCCTGAAATTGCTTTGTTTTTTTTCCTAACTGGTGGGCTCTATAGGTATATGTTTGGGGTTTTTTTGAATAGGTATAAAACATGCAATTTAAAGCTCAAAATTTTAAACCGTCAAAAATAATTTATATCTTTATTTTTAAAAAATTATTTATTTGTTTGTTTGTTTAATTCTTTATTTCTGGTCTATGCGAAAACCTTACATTTTAAAACTGTGTTTTCTTGAAAGTTTCATACAGAAAATAAATGTTTTAGTTTTGAAAATTCCGTTCAAAAACATTGGGAGCAGGCTTAAGAAAACACTCATGTGAAATATGTGAGAATAACCACGGAAATAATTTCTGGAATATTTCCCTTACAGTAGTATGGATCTTGTAAAAAATAAATAATGAAAAGAAAATTCAAGTTTCTAAGTATCTGTACTTTAGCTACAACTATTTGCTGACATCGTTGTGTACTTTTAACAGGAAATAGTATATTTCTCCTTTACTTTTTCACCTTTACCATATTTTTCTTTTTGCTTCCAAATATCATTTCGATTTCAAGCTGCTTTTTTTCTCTTTATTAGAGAGACACAAGATTTAACTCCCATTATGTTAAAGCAAAATCAATAGATGCCCTAAGATTTTCAGGGGATTTAAATATAATTCTTACTTTTAACAGCTTTTCAAATGCTCTCTTATTTCTGATTTTGCCCAAATATTTATTTTCTGATTTGCCCTTTTTTTTCAGGAGAATGTTTCCTACGATCAGGGTTTCTTTCTCGGGAGTGGATCCTGAGGCGAAGTATATTGTGTTAATGGATATCGTTCCTGTGGACAATAAAAGATATAGATATGCCTACCACAGGTCTTCCTGGTTAGTGGCTGGAAAAGCTGACCCTCCTCTCCCTGCAAGGTTTGTAGATTTATTGCTGGTCTTTTATTTATCTTTTTTTTTTTTTTTTTCCCCAAAAATATCTTGCATTATCTTTTCATTCTGTTTACAAACAGTACTCTGAGATTTTGAGTCCATGTTCAACAAAGTTGGTTACAAAACTCTGATTGCAATTTTTGTGTTGCAGAATCTGGCCTCAAATCTCTGCTTGAGGTTTGATTTCTGCTGAATATTCCACGATATGCAGAATTTGGTTAAGAGTTCTTTTATATCTATTGTTTGTTTGTTTGTTTGTTTGTGTTAAATGGAGTTTGTCATGATTCAGATAAGAAAACTTTAAAAAGAAATAGAACTGATTTGTCTCTTGGATTTGCCTCCCCAATATTTGACCTCGTAATTCAAAGCAATCCAGGCACTACCAGCCAAGCCAAAGTAGAAATAAATTGCAGCTCATTGCTGTTTATGCTTGAAATTATATTATTTCTGTAACATATCCAGCATTTATAGGTTAGCATTTGCTAACCAATGATTTTATTCTTGATTTTAATCATCTATTGGGCAGCAGGCAAAGTACAGAACAGTTTCTCGGCACAGTTACTTTTCTTTTCATTAAGAAATCATGAAATATTATGAGACATTAGGAAAAAAGCCCTCTGTAAAATAAATTCCCTTTTCTTTACAGAAACATGCTTCAGAAATTTTATTTCTAAAGTCATTCCATTAATGTAATTAATGACTGATTCCTTTAAGCGCTGGGCAACTGAGGCTGCAGGGCTGGGCTGTACAGTGGGAGGGCACTTCAGAGGAGACCCACACTTCATCGTGTTCAGGCCAGCACTTCTGTACCTACTTCAGTCCCCAAGTCCAGTAAGACTGCAGCACATGTCGAAAGGCTTTGCTGAGTCAGAGCTGGAGATATGGAAATAACGCGGATGCCTCTCTGGCTTCAAAGAACCTTCTTGCAGAGGGCTCCACACAGGAACACAGATCTGCTCCAGGTGGCTTAGCCCAGGGTTAAGAACTTGCTTATTACAGGGGCAGAAATTATAAGTGAAACACAAGAAATGGAAACAATTTTTTTTTGATGTGTGAGTATAGGCACCAAATTCTGCATGATTTCCTTATATAAATCATTGAATTGAAATCTTGGTGACTCTGGTGATCTCTGGAAGGCTGTTCAGGGAAGTAAACAAACAAAAAGCGCAAGCTGAGAAGCTGTGATTAAAGACAGCAACCTAGGAGTTATGTCTGCTTTGTTTTCATGGCCAAAAACTCCTTCTTGCAGTGTGGTTAACGTCTGAGGGCTTCGTTTGACGTATTGTAATGGGCACTGATCAAAACCCAAAGAGAAAACACTGATCCTGCTCCAAAGGAGTCAGCATCAAAAGAAGAAATAACAGAAGAACAGAAATAGTTTTAAGGCAGGGTTTCCCCCTTCTTATTTTTCTGTTCACGCCCCTTTTGGGACACCTTTAAATAGATTTCTAATTGGCATTCTTTCTGGCATAGACTCGCTCAACAAGGAAATACTAGAATGTAAGACAAGAGACTGGAATAATTAACAATTGCCTTACTGAGTATTGGAAAAAACCTTCTTGAAGTTTAATAGTCATTTTTATTGTACTGTGGTAACTTTGTGAGCCCCCAGCAGATCAGTGTTCCTATGTGCAAATGCATGTGTCTGCTGTTCCATTTTCGGGATGCTTTTCTCCTGTGTGTGAATGTACATCTTTCCTGCCTCAATTGCAGGATGCTTAGTTACACAGACTATTGATCTCTGATCATTCATGCACTTTTTCCTCCTTACACTTTGATGAGGAAAAGGGTGCCAAGAAGTTCAGCGTGCCAGTGTTTGCATTACCAGTGCTTCTCCTAGAGTGTTAATGCATCTTTTCAGGTGGGAGGCCTCAGTCTTGCTTGAACAGATTAAAAGTAGTTCTCCTTCCATCTTGAAACAAGTTTGGTCCTGCTCCAGTAACAGAAACCTTTAAAAAAGTTATGATTTCTTGTCCTCCAAAGGCAGGGTTTTAGCTCTCCCTGCTTGAGGAGCGTCAGAGAGGTGTGTGTGTGTTTAGTGTCTGGGCACTGGTAATGAGGTACTTGCTCCCCACACACATCACTGCCTGCCTCTGCCCAGGCACAGTATAATTCATGAGTTGCATTGTGTCTGGGTGTAAGACTTTGCAGGACTGAACCAGTTCGATGGTTTTACTCTTTCCATTATAAAAATAACTTTCAACATCACGACAGTTTTGTAGGGCTGTTGTTTTTTTTGTTTGTTTTTGGTTTTTTTTTTTAATTAATAAGTATTCTGTGATTCTGTTTGAAAGATTAGCCCTTCAGGGAACTTTCTATTAAAACCAGTTTTATCCTTGTCTTCCTGCTGTCAATGTTGAAGACAAGTTTATGTTGCAATGAACAAGTTTATGTTGCAATGAACACTTAAATAAAAATACTTTTCAGAAAGTCTTTTGTAAATCTTCTAAAGTGGTATCTGGGGATAGAGTTCCTATGTGATATTTTGTGTTTGCCTTCCACATTGTTAAGACTGTGTGAAACATCAGTTCAGTAAGTTTCAGCATGTACCTTTATTTGATCTTCTTCCATTATTGCCTCATTTCTTTCACTCAAAAGTTTGTTACTATTTTTTTTTTAAACTGTATTTGTCTCTATAATTTGTTTAATGAACTTAATGTTTACAGACATATGGAGAACTCTAGGCAGGAAACCTTTAAAAGGTATTATATTTTGAAAATTATTTGAGACATTATGGTAAATAAAAGTAGCATGCATGGGGCTTGTGGGACCAGACCAGCTGTTAAACTAAATAGAGGGAGTGCGGTGTTGCATTCCAAAATACACAAGAAAGAAGCAGTACCCTTATATCGTGAAACATTATATACTGCAGAGCAAATGCACATCCAAATATGGCTCCTAAATCCTTTGTGAATCGAAGCGAGGAGCCCCTCACATCTGGCTGGCCTTAGGCAGCAGATACCAGACAAACTTCTGGGAGAGCCTCGTGTGCCGCGCTGGAATGTGCGCATTTATCTCGCTGGCCTGTTTGCTCGTGCTCACTCCTGGTCTTGCCAACTTCTGCTTCAGAAACCACTCTGTCAAGTGTTCAACACTCTTCCCCGAGGTGTGCAAGCTCTGGCTGTGGGAGAAGTGTGGGAAATAAGTTTAGGTCACCAGATGGAACCCCGGGTTGCAGTGGGATTGTTGGGGTGTAGCGAATGGGTAAAGAAAAGTAAGGTCTGTTACTGCTTTTCAGTAATTGACATTCTGGTGCCCATCCTTCAGTGACCTTCCTCTTAGAACTCTGCTTACAGGCACTTGGTAGTTTTAAAGCAGTGCCCAGCATTAACAATGCTGATGGTGTAAAACAATTGTACTCAGCTTTTCAGCACAGGGAGGTCTTTACTCATTCCCTGCACATATTTGAAATACTTTGGCTTCTTGGTCCCAATTAGCCAAACCTTGCTGAGTCTGATGCTGTGCTCACAGTAAACATTATTTGCTATCCAGACATTCAAAATTAGGAGTCAGGCTCAAAAAAAGAAAAAAAAAAAGTCACAAGAGGCTGGCTGAAAAGTTGCAGGGCATCTTTGGAACTTTTTGTTTTGCCTTCTCTAATTCGGGGTTCTAAATATTGACATTTTCACAGTTTTTAGAGGAAGACAAAGCTAATTTTCATGATAGCTAAGATTCTTTTGACATAACATGATTCTAGGTCTTGGTATTTCAGATACATCCCCATTTTTCGAGAGCTTTGCAATGCAAGCAGTAGAGTTGATAGCAGTGAGGACGCCTGCATGCTAGGAATATTTTATTGTGACAGGAATCCTGGCTCAGCATCCCTCCCATGGACATAGCTAGAGCAGCCAAGCTGTGCTTTGGATCAATGTAAGGAAAACATCCTGCACATCTGAGGCGAGCTGTGCTGGTAAAACTTTGGTTTCACTGTGTCTTGGGGATTCTGCTGGCAAAAACAGAATACAGGATCAAATCTCCTTCCTCTTTGAGCAACAGGGCTATTCTCCCCAGTGTCTTTGCTATGGGCATTCCTTGATTAGGGATCAGCATGCTCTACTGGAGAGTTACGCCCCACCATTTAGTGGTTTTTCCATTCTAAAATCGTAGCTCAACAACAAGGACAAATGTTTATCTTCCTAACCTAGCAGCTCAGTTCTGCCCCACCCACCTAATGGAAGAAAGTCATTTGTGTGGCTAAAGACATCACCCAAAATGAGAGTCAGGCCCTCAGTGAGTGATAACCAATGCAGACAGCAGCAAAACAGGGCTGGCTTGCACTAGCTGAAGGTCTAGTCCAGCTCTTAATTTGCCATCACAAAAGAAGAGTTGAGTTCATAATTTCCAGCAATACATTATTCCTATAAAATCATTGCTCTTAAATAGTATGGCACTTGTAATTAGTGTAGTTGTAATGTATATATCACTGTATCTGCATGTCTTCTTCCTTCCTTTTCTTCTGCTTAATTTCCCAAGTGTAGGACTGTTAATAGCAGAGCTGCAACTGATTTTTCATGTCAGACCACTGTGTTGGACTGCAGCCTTCAACCTCTTATAAACAGACGTCACCACAGCGAATGTGTGATCGAGTGCAGGTTAAAATCATTATCACGGCTTAATGTTACATATAAAGAAAAATGCATTTTTATCTGCATTCCCCCATTATCTCTGTAATGACACCATGTTTTTTCTCTTGGAGTTGTAGTCATTGTTATTTTAAGTGCTTGTTAGTACAGCTGTGGGGAAAGACGTGATCAATTTTTCATTTGGGAAAAGACACAACAGGGAATGTTAAAGTCTCCATTTTAGATAGTGGGATAAAAAAATAAGTATGGTTAAGGAGCAGTCTAGCACTCAGACACAGGATTCTCAATTATGTTTCAGTGAATTAAATAATACTTTACTGCTTTACTGTCCTTCATGAATAACTTTATTTCAGGAATTCATTTATTTGGGGGGAGATGGTGTCATGTTCTAGCAGCAGATTTGTATTACCCTAAGCTCTCCGGAAGTCCATGCCCGTGAAAACACTGCATATCCTGAAAGCAAAATGATATGTGCATTTTAATTTCATACAGAATTGGTGCCCACAAGCACACAAGCCCAGAGGAGAGATTTTATTTTGAGCAGGCATTTTCCCTGTGTTTTTTAGGTTGTATGTGCACCCTGATTCCCCGTTCACAGGAGAGCAACTGCTGAAGCAGATGGTGTCCTTTGAAAAAGTCAAACTCACCAACAATGAGCTGGATCAGCATGGCCATGTGAGTAGCTCTATGGGTGGGAAAGGGAAAAGAAATAAACCAAGGAATTGCTTGCTTGTGCCACAGGGCTAAACGGGAGAGAGACTGCCACGGAGAAAGGCTGCCATGGCCCCCATGGTACACCTCTTTTAGCCAGCCCTTCATACCACAGTGGTGGAAGATGTTGCGTGAAGCTCGAATGTATTTGGTTTAACACATTTAAGGGTACTTCTATGTTCCTTTGTTGCTGAGGAACAGGCAGATTTCAAGTCAGGATTTTCTGTAATATTTCATAAGGTAGAACCTGGATCAGTGTTTCAAATCATCCTTCTACTTCCATTAGAGGAAAAACATCCATCAGGGGCAAGTTCAGGGTGGAGCCGAGCGTCAGAGCAAGGGGTAGAAGGAAGGTAGGTGAGCCTTTTGTTGTGCTTCTGCTTGCATTTTGCTGTGACTTGTCAGTATGCTCTGCCACATGCTGTGGCCAGCAAACCCACGTGCTTGGAAACTCCCTACAGGTCACTTCAGGCCACCTGTTAGGGTTGGGTCTGTCAATAACAGCTCTTTTACTTCCAGACTCGTGGCAGCATGGGCTCAGAGTCAGAAGCAAATACTGACCTGACACCAAAGCAGGGTCTATTGAATTATAAAACATAAATGTACCTCAATTGCCCTTGAAATTACTGTAGGCTAACTGCAAGTCAAGGTGCCACAGGGTGGGCTTGGGCCTCTGAAGGAGACAGGTCCCAGATTGGTGCCAGTTCGTTGTCACAAGTCCTGAGGCTGGATGATGGTAAATAGGATTGAGAGGTGCTTGCCATGGGCTCCTGCTATGCTCCATCAGTGGGGACAACTCCTTTAGTTACCTGACTACCCAGTGGTAGGTGGTAAGAATAGGTATTGTCTGTCCTGTCCTCTCCATAAAAGTACCTATAAAGTACAGGAATGTCTAGATAGAGCTTCCATATTTCAAAGAAAGAGCTAAAATAGTTGCTTCTGGGCGTGGTGAGTCTCTTAGGGAAGGCAGAAGGAGCAAGGGGATGGATTTGAAAGGATTGTTGGCAGAGAACAGGGCAGTTCAGAAGAACAAGCATAAAGACAGTGTTAGTAAATGAGGTGTTGGGAAGAGAGGAATGATTTTGAATTCTAAAGCATGGGTAGGGGTAATGAATTCGTTCAGCTGAATAATTGCAGAATACGATGTATCAGAAGTCCCTAGTGTGGTATTTATTGCCTGGACTGTGGGATACAGTGGCTATTTGTCTCAGCTATGCTCTGTACAAATGTTTCTCATCCAAAAGAGAATTTTCACTCATTTCACAAACTGAGAATTGAACCACAGCCATGCTCATTTAAAATACATCCTGGAAATAACAGCATCAAAAATAGCTGAATACCCCAAACAAATAAACAAAGGAAAGCCCAGATAGATGCCTCTGTGTTGTTCTTTTGTAGAGATCCATATGTGGGTATATTGTTCTTGAACCCAGCTCCAACCGTTGTTCCCTTCAGGACTAGCGGAGAATGGTTTTGCTTTTTTCCTCTCTTTTATTTCATAATCTGTAGAAGGGCAAAGCTGAAGATTTGTGGGCTCTATCACCGAGTGATGATAGAGCAGTATACGTGAGCACTTAAAAAGAAGCATTTTTCATCATAACAGGGGCCATGTGTGCCTCTAATAAAGGGCTCGCAGCAGTATATTGCAAGCTAGTTAGGAGAGCTGCAGTTCCCAGAAGCCCAGAGGAGTAGGAAGAAGAAGTAGGTCTGAGGAGCTGTCGGGAATAGAGACATGTGGCAGAGCAAGAAGATGTAATCGTCTCAAATACAGGCAGCAGGAGAAAACGATCCGTAGTGTTTGAGATGCGCCTTCCCATTAATTTCCAGAGACGCAGAGGTCGATCCCTTTCTTTACGCAAAGGCTCTGGACAGCCAAGGACAATGGAAAGTTTTGTGTGTTCAGTTAAGCCCTGAAGTCTTGATCCTGTGTTGAGATTTGAGTGACAGGTGTTACCCCTTCACAGAGCACTCTCTTTTAAATATTTTGTGGGGGTTTATGTTCCAAATGAGGCCGTCAGGTTTTACGTGCTGCCTTATTGAAGCTATGCAAATGCCATCATTACCATCAGTAGAATTAAGGATGGAATCAGTCCTCTGGAGCCTTTAAGGAGGATTCACTGTGCTATGGTCCATGGCATTTCCAATCTCCTGTGAATGAAGAGAAGAGGAGAGCTGAAACTCCTCCTAAAATCTCTCCCTTCAGTTTGAAAGAGCCAGTCTTCACTTTTTAATTATGTTCGATAAGGTGTGTTGGTTCCTGAGGAAGTTTGGATGACGCCTTTAAATACCAGTTACAGGTATGGAAAATGAATCCAACCTAATTCCAGTTTGTTCTAGTTGCTTGCTTTCTTCACCATCCAGAAGACAGTTTGGGGTGTTAAGGTAATTGTGGTTTATTTGCAGGGTGGTTCACTTCCTGAAAAGGAATCTGTAGAGAGGAGAGGCATTTGTTTGTTCTAGCATATGTTTGTTTTCTCGTGTTCCGAGACTTTTGGAGTTGGCAAGCATTTCTGATGTGTACCTCCAGCAGCATGTGTAACCCCAGAGTTATGCACATATTCTCCCCAAGCCTCAGGCACAAGTCTTATCTCTGTGTGCACGGCATACAGCTCACTCCATGGAAAAACTTTCAGATATCCTTACCAGAGAAAGGAAATGACTCCTATCTTTAGATTTTTACAGCCAAGCAAGTAATTGCCATTTTCCTGACTGCGAAATATTTATGAATGCGACATTTTCCCCCTAGTTTTTAGTGATATTTTTCATATCGAGTGCTTTCTTTAGGACGTTTCATTGTCCTTCATTGGAGCGCCATCATTTTTGATTTATGGTGAGGTGAACCATGAGTGTACACATTATTGTAATTGTTTTTTTGGCATTTACTCAAACACATGAATCTATGCAAAAGCAAACTCAAAGCTGTGAACATGTTTAATAAATAACTGTGAAAGCAGGGTGTGTGGAATATCCACTCCACACACTCCAAGGAGTTATGCCCAAGTTTTTTTTTAGTCAACCAGATAGAAGTTAGGAACCCCATGCTTTCAGAAAGAAAACTTTACATGGTAATGCTATTATTTGGTGAATATGGAAGCTTCATTCACAGCACAGTTCCTGAATTCAAAACCACCTTGGAATTTTGCAGCTGGCATCCAGATTGCCTCTGGTGACTGGTCTGTAGCCAGTGTGAGCCAGATGCCTACAAACCTGCCTGACCTTACAGCAATCAGGATCCAGTAAGAAGGTATCCTGGTCATCTCCCCTGCCTCAGGCTGTCAGCACAAAGGTAGATGGGGTAGCTGGGGGCCTCTGGCTGCCAGCAACTGTGTGCAGGGGGGTCGCCATGAATATATGGGTACCTGATGTATCTCTTGGGACATGCCAGCAGGATTGTCACTGAGTTGGCATAAGGGATTTTCTGATAGCTACATCATGCAGGAGTGGACTGCTTGGACTTTGAGGCCACTCTTGGAGACTACTCTGTGAGGAGCACCCTATGGATCTAACTCCTTTGGGCTATTTTTATATGGTCCTAACTCAAGAAGTTGCACAGGTATTAAGGAGAGTCTTTGTATATCATCAGCAGCTTATGTGGAGGTACAGGTGGAAAACTACACATACAGACCCTCACATGAAGGAAATGTTCACATTTACCTTGGTCATGGGTCTTTTGTGACCTCCTGGCTGCATTCGGTACTTGTTTTGTACATGAACGACCAGACTTGCCTCTGGTGGGAGTGGGAAATGCAGAGTACCACAGCAAGGGTATGTGCATTCTATTTTTTGGAAAATTTTCATAAGGGATTACACAGTTTTGTTTGAGAAATGTAGTTCCTTTATCAAAATTAGCATTCAGAGAGGAGTGAAAGGAAAGGGCATGTGTGGGAGCTGCTCTCAACATTTTTTTTTCTTCCTTCCACCTGAGTGCTGCTCAGATGTAATGCCTTGGTGTGGACATCATGGCCATGGAAGGCAACGGAAAGCACCAAGGTCTGTGGGCTAACCCCTCAGTAAGCTCTTCACCATCCACACACCCTGCTTTAAAATGTCTTTTCCGTCTGCTTAGAGCACTCCAAGTAACTAGGATGGCAAGACAAAATTTTACAAAGAGAAGGAAAAGCGCTAAGGATATTAAAGGCAAGGTCCGTGGCCATTGTGTTTGTTCCTATATAAAATGGTAAAGTACTTTGAAAAAGGACCTGAGCTGGTTAAAGCAAACATGCAACACTTTCAGGATGATGGTTCACTGTCATTTTAATGTCTTTCTTGTTGCTGTGTGCCTCCCCTCAAAGTCACAGTGTGAATCTTGGCAATATTTGGCCCCAAAGGAGCAGCAAAGAAAAAAACTGATGGATATTGTAGCCATGATAGAGCTGTCTCTGTGCTCTCCACTGCAATGCCATGTGCAACCTTCCTCATTGACTTAGCATGAAATACTGCACCGCTCCTGCTATATTTCAGCTGAAGTTAACGCTTCCTGAGGAATGCACATTAGCTATTCCAGATGTACGGAGCTGACTGTAATGTCGTTATGGCCCCTGCAAAATAGAACCACCCACACCATTGCCAATTTTGTCTTGTGACTGTGATTATATCCAAAACAAGGGCTGGTGTGAGCTGAGCTCTGTATTTAATTCTTATATTGTAATACTGTGGTTAGAGGCCGCCAAACAGGCCTCCAGCCAGTGGTAACTGAAGCAAGGGGGGACTCTTGGTTTGACTCCAGTGAACGTTGAAATTGGTTGGTTGGTGCTTAGGTTTAGAATTGTTTTGGGAGCTCGTAAACAACTATTAATGAGGATAGAATAGCAAAACCCAGTCATTTGGGGGTTCCATACTGGTTTCCCTCCTTGCTCGCATTTTTGGTAGTCTGCGGTGAGGAGCAGTTCCGAAGGAGTTTGTTTTAAAGGTTTGCCACAGTGAAAGGCTACGTGGAGTTTTACTTTTGGTCAGACGGTTTGTGCTGCTGCTGGTAGGTTTTTGGATGGGTCTAATTTTTTCCGTCTTTTTTTTTTTTTTTTTTTTTTTTTTTTTTTTTTTTTTTTATGAGGGATTTGTGACTATTTCATTCTGCACCTGCGCATTTTTGCAAGTGGGGACTCTTGGCCATTACCTTTCAGGAGTTACATATTCACACCTGCCTACCAGGGCACACTCTGGCAGTGACTAATTCTGTATGTAAAACACCTCACCTGTAGGAACAGGTATTTACACCGCAGGAAATGCATGCTCACCAGTGGCGTAGGAGTGAGAGGAGACTAGCTCCTGGAATGCCTGCTTTTCCACCTTCATTTCCTGGAACTGCCCAAAGGAGCTGGAGAGTTTGCTCTGAAAGTCAGCCCCTGGCTGGTTAGATTTCAGATGCTTCCCCTGCAGTGTTAATTAGATCTTCCCTCCCCCAGCCACCCCCCGCCATGGTTTAATAGCCTTTGAGGGCCCTGTCAACCTTCCTCTCAGGACGGTGCTCTGTCATTCTTCCTTGCAGATCATTTTGAACTCCATGCACAAGTACCAGCCAAGGGTCCACATCATTAAGAAGAAGGATCACACAGCTTCTTTGCTAAATCTGAAATCAGAAGAGTTCAGAACATTCATCTTTCCAGAGACAGTTTTTACTGCTGTTACTGCCTACCAGAATCAATTGGTGAGTAGAGTTGCTAATTTCTACAGATGTAACTAGATCCCACCCTGCTGAAAACTCCCTTCTGCCCAATCTAAACTAGGAAAATTTCTGCCATTACCTACCTTTCCATGCCAATCTTATTCACATTCACAAATAATTCCTGAATATACAGTAGTAGTACAGACTTCAAAGAGCGGTAAGGACTACTCATGAGAGTAAAAATGGCAAGTAGGAGGCTTTCTTTTGTCTTCCCCTCTGTCTATACAAAGCTGCTTGCATATTAACATTTAGTCATTTTCTAATTATAGCTCATTAAAGAACTGTTCTTATTTGCAGTGATATTTCATGCCACAAGCTATGAGCTGAGAGAGATTCTGGTTTGCACATGATGATTTCACGGGCTGAAAAAGTTGACTAATTAAGCTGTAAGGCTCAAACGTAAGGAAAATCACTCAGAGATATGCTTTTCAGAGGCTGCCCAGATTACATCCAGATGTTTGAATTTCAATTTGCATGCCAGTGAATAATAATATATACAAAATGGAGGAGATCATAACAATGGATTGCTAATGAGTAATTTTAGGAAGTCTATAAACAATCAGAGAACAGAGGCTCTGCTTGATGGTGGATTGGGCTTTAATATTAAAGTCAGTGGAAGTACATTCTTGCCTTCTGTGTCATTCAGAGCATGTTTGAAGGGCTTACTGACTATGGTAATTCAAAAAAACCCACCTATTTTGCTCCTTAGTTCCCTCAAGTTAAGAAAAATACAGGCACTGTCCAAATATGTGGGTAGGCAGCATCACAGAGTTAATGTACCTGCTGGATTGTTTAAAGTAGGCACTTTCTAATATGAAGCAAATAAATTTTGAAATGCTATGAATAAAATGAAACTAAATCATAGGGTGCCAAGGAAGCTCTGAAGATAATATTAGTAATATTAAGTCAGTCCTTATGACAGACCCCACATCCTGTTTTAAGGCTTTAATGTATTGATTTAGACTTAGATTTGTATCTGAATGCTGTAGAAAACACACTCAGAACCTGGCAATCTCAAGAAAATAACGTTTGGACAGGCAGCTAGATTTTTCCATGTAACTTTCTTTAGAAACCAGCAAAATACTAACAGGCACAAAACCAGCTAAACCCAGAATTTATTTCTGTAGGATGGATTTGTGTCTACAATGATATTTACACTAGAGATGTTTCTAAACTAACCTTCCCAAAGCACATACATTGAGTCCTGGAAAATTTCTCAATGGAACATCTCCGGAACCCCTAGAGGTTGATGTTGTCATTTTATTTATGACTAATGAAAATGGAGCCTTTTTTCATTTTTGCCATTTCTTTCAGAACTGTTTTAAGGAGGGATTGATTACATTTCTGGAGGTTATTAGATAAAAGCTAAATACATTACACTTTCAACAAACTATCTCATAATTTAAGATTTAAAGGGCATGCATTTATTTAAACAGTCAAACCACTGCCACAGAGTTGAATTGTAGGTCAGATTTCATTTTAAAATGCTTTCTAGCAGATGTTCTCTGATTGTTTGTGAGACAGTCTCTCAGGAAAAATATGGTCATAAATGATTGTGAGTCTCATCTGGCTTTGGTGGATACAAAAAGTTTCTCCTGTGATGTCATACCAAAACTTTAATATCAGGAAGATGGAAGTTTGATTGGTGAAAATATGCTCAAGAGATGAATAGACATCCTTATTGTTCTGTAGTGCAGTTGGCTTGGTGTGTCGGTGATCTCAGTCAATGGAACTAGTTAGAGCTTGTCTTTTTTCAAGGTGGTTTTCAAAATGCTGCCATAAAAATCTTCACTGGATGTGAGATGTGAGGCACTAACTTGCTACTCTGCAACATCACCATGAGCTGAGGGCTTATGGATGCCTTGGAAGGAGAATGAGCCAATAGCTAAATTTTTTGAGCCATTTTGAGGTTCTTGTGACAAGGCTTCAAGGTTGTTCCCACCAGTTGTACCTGAGCGATGAGACAGCCTCAAACCCTCCACCAGCACTCAGGTCCATGAGTTTTAATTAACTGGCAGGCCATTAATTAAAAAGTCAGAATTTCCCTTCATCAGCATGTCCCTTCCTCTCTGTGTTTTCCTCAGAAGACCTCTTTCTCAGAATTAAAAGTTGGGTCCAGTTGTCTCCTTTATATTTTTTTTTAATATTTTATATAAATACATATTTGTCCTCTTTATTATTTTTTTATTTTGGGGGAGAAGCCACCCCATTTTGAAATATATTTGTTTGATGAGAGTGTTTCATTGTTTGAGGATTTGGAAAAGATCCCATTTTTTTTTCCTGAGTCTTGATGTCCAATTATTAAAAATGAGATTGTAGCCTCTTTGATACAGACTTTTTTTGAGAGAAGTCAGGCTGACAAAGCCCCTTAATATGAAATGATTTTCATGGCCTTAAGCTAGAGTTGGTGGCATTCACTGCACTGCAGGATGGGTCCTATGTTTTCTTTTATCACGCTCTAACGCTCACTTACAATTTTAGTTTTAGCTCTAGGAAGAGGTATGGCTGGAAAATCCATATATTACAATGATGTCTCAGGTTTTATTCACCAAATCCAAATTGGTTGTATATATAGAAAATTTCACAAGAACAATGGAGCATTTTTTTTCCTGGTCCTCAAGAAACATATTGAAAACCACCACCATTCGCCTGAAGAAGTTTCACCACAAAGAGGAGCTCAGATGTTTTGGGGCAGGAGGGATTCCTGGTCAATGAGTTGCTCAGTCAAAATGGAAAGGCTGACTGAATGACTGGGCAGGTTTATAGCTACCTTTGAAGAAGGGAGGATAGTTTTTACTCATGATCTGTGGTTTTTCAAGACTGATTGTTTCAATGGGGTTACTCCTTCAATCCAAGCTCTGTCACTTTAAATCTGAGTTCTCGCCACATTTTTCCTTCCCTTCCTTAGCCTCTTCTCATATAAAGCCAGTTAAACTGCCCCTGTGTGGTCACTGGTAGGCCTGGCTGAGAACATTTCCACCCCAGTAAAAAATAAAGGTGCTAGTGTAGTGAAGCCATGGCTTCAGGCTGCTTGGGCTTGTTGAATTGGTTGATGTGCAGCTCCACCAAGCAGGCTCAGCTGTGAGCAGGGTGATTTGTGCTGCTTGTGGTAAAGAAAACCTGATTGATGCTGGGAAAGTATTTGGAAGCTGTACTGAGGTACATGGGTGGGTTCTTCATGCTCCAGGCAACAGGAAGGCTGAGCCTGCCATGCCCTTTAAGCCTTTCCACTGTCATATGTGCAGTGCACCCTGGTTTGCCTCCTCAGCTTTGCAAAGTCTCCGGAGCGGCGCACACGCACAGGGCACGCGGATAAAATTAGCAGTGAAGTCACAGGGGATGGATTGGTTAACACTTTGTACGCTGCAGTACCCTAACACTGTATTCGTGTAATGTTGCTCTTTTCTGTGTTCCCAGATAACCAAGTTGAAAATTGACAGCAACCCTTTTGCTAAAGGATTCCGTGACTCTTCCAGACTCACTGATATCGAGAGGTAATGGGGACTTTCTGTTTACTTTCCATGCAGATAAGATAAAGAGAAGAGAGGGTATGTAGGAAAAGCATCCTTTCAACTCCTGAGAACCTGTGCATTTTAACGTTATCTTGCTGCATACAGTAAGACTCCTCCACATCCTTTAAAAATGCTTATAAACTTTATGAAGAAAGAGCTGTTCTGAGTTTTGACATCTGTTCCAGTTGGGGCCAATATATTAGTCTTCCTCAGGGGGCTTCTTGAAGGAAGAAGAGGGTCAGTTTTACAACTTCAGAATGGAAAGCTTTTTTCTTATCATGCCATTTAATCCTGTTGAGAGCTGTGAATTGGGTCAATAGGAAACAAGGGCAGTGGTCCTGTGAAAAACATCTTTACAGCTCCCCACTGCTCAACATAGTGGAAAAGAGAGTGGAGAGCTCCCAAAATTCACTTCAGCAGTCCCAGACACCAAATTGGCAATTACTGCCATCAGGATGGCTCCCATAACTCCCACTCTGACAACAAAGATGCCATTTTCGTTTCACCAAAGTTGTATTACAAGCTTCACCAGGGGAAAGCTTTATCTGGAAACTGTTTTGTATGTGTACAGCTCATTACAAGCAACTGCTGCCATAGGGACAGAAGCATTAACCCACAGCTGAGTTAGGAAATAAACTTCAATCTCTTGGTAGCTTTCCAGCACGTCACATTTTTATGATATCATGTCATATAACTTGGCAAATGAAGCAAATTAAGCTGCTTGTGTCCTTTAAGCTGGAAGAGAACTCGATGGAGATGGATATAGCACGTCCAATTTTTCCTATGAGCACACAGTCATGAAAGAAAGTTTGGAGAGGTCAAAACCCTCCAGGCTCCTATGTGGAGACATCCAGATGTATCTGTGAATCATTTTTTCACAGGTGCATACAGGGGACAAACTGCTCAATGAAGTCATAGCCACAGAGCTAGAGAAAGTCTTTACAGCAGTTCAAAAGTACATCTATCTAAGCAGGCCCATGGATGGGAAATAGTGGTACCCTTTACACCTTACTAATGACTGGATCATAAGTGATCTGTTGAGTAAATGGGTAAAAGATCAGGAATTTGGGGAGAGAAAGCTTGTAGGCTGCAGTGCACACTTGCAAAATCTCTTAAGTGAAAGCCTTCATTAAAAATGGAAACAAACCAAAGAAAAGAGGCAAATTTAATAAAATAGCATGGTCTGCTGTATTGACAGAATACTGAGGTAAACAACATCCAAAGCTCAGGTTAGTATGCAATAAATAGCCAAGGAAGCACCTGTCAGAAGAGGTTTCCTTGTTTTACAGACAGGAGACATCTAACGACGCAGCTTTGCAAGGGCGGAAAGAGTCTGAACAGATAAGCTGGGAGAAAAACTTAGTTGCCTCTGTGCAGATGAACTGACTATCGTGGTGCTGGATATGAAGGGAATTTTTCCAGAGGACAGCTTATTATAACAGCACATGGCATGGAGTCAGAAATGCTGAGCATAAGCTGCAGTGCCCTTTTGTTTATTGATAAGTGTAAGAATAGAGCCTGAGACAGGCAGCTGAGCCCAGGCACAAATGTTGCCATGAAAGATAAGGCAGACAAATGGGAAGCCTACAACAAATACAAGAAACAGAACGTGTAAAGTGTTAAACCTACATTAAAACTCTGGATTTGAGAGCCCAAGTTTGGGGCAGGTACTGATGTACTGATTTGTACTTAAATTAGAAAGCTTAGCCCTGATTACTATTACAATAGTATTTAAAAATATAAAACCTGCTGCACAATACATCAAGTCATGAGATAATAAAAGTGTAACATGCAAGTGGGCTGGAAACAGATTTGAGAATTGCCTAAGTTATAAAAATGGTACAGAAATATCAAAGGGTTTATTCAGTTCTGCCATTAAAATACTCAGGCTGATCAGGACGTCATTCTCTAAGTGCCCACAGGTTCTACAGATTTCATCTTAGCACCAGCAAAATTGCTTAAAGAAATCTGAAACACAGCAAAGGAAATAGCAAAGTGAGATATGACAACAGGAAGAATTTATTATTTGATGTCCATTGCAATATTAATTGAATCTCAAATAGTACAGCATGACTCTTGCTCAGTCTAATTGGAAACTATAAGATCACTGCTGGAGAAAAACACTCATTTTCCAGGGAAAAGACTGCGAAGGCCAAAACACACTTGCACAGCTCTTGAAAATGGAATAGTTGTCTAGAAGCTGTGAAAATGCTTTGCCTGCACTGCTCCCTCGGCAGGCGTGCACTCAGCACGAGCAGTGTGCAATCAGCGGTGTGGCGTGGTGATCCTAATGGGCTCCCGTAAAGCATCCCATGATGCTGGGGCCAAGACAGCGCTCATTTATCCTGAGTCCCAGCTTTTCCAAATGACCTAAGTAGTGTGAAAGCGCACAGAGCTTTGTATTTCATTTCCAAGTATTTAAGCCTGCTTTTTCCTAAACAGCCTTTGGGGAGGGAAACAAATCAGATCAATTGATCTTTAGAGACCTAAAGAAATCAAATTAGTCTGGAGTCAGTTACTGCACTAAACCATCCAGTAATTGGATTGCTTCTTGTAACTGATTGAAAACAGCCTCTATCTGTAACAATATAGGGAGCTTTTCTTTATAGTAGATCTGAGAGAAAAACACATCTTTTTATGACATGATGACAGAAATTGCACTTTTTTAACCTAATTGAATATGATTTTATAAATATGTGATTTTAACGATTTCAGGCTTCCCATTCTAGATTTACGATCCTTATGTAAGAAATTCAAGCTGCAAATACCTTTAGGATTAAATCTGTGGGCATTGAATGTGTTGGAGTTGAAATAATATATGTAAAGACGGTGAAATTTGCACAGCAGTAGAGGAGGTAGGCAACAGCAAAACTTTTGGAATGCCCTGTGTTTTCTTTTGTTCCTGTCTAAATACCATAGAATGGTTTCCTTTTACTCATAGCTATATGCAGGCCTTTTAACTATTGAAAAAAATCTTTGGTGAGTTTGGTATATACTGATTTTTTTTGTAGGATGCAAGGCTCCTTTCACAATCAACCCTTTCCCTACATTACTTGTGGTAATCTATTTATAGCAATGGGGCAGACTTTATCTGGAGCTACTGTGATTTAGATAACTTTCTGACTCACCTTTTGATCTTTTTACGTGGTATTTACATCTCCTCTACTATAAAAAGGCTCCCACAGTGGTTGTGAACAAAAAAATTGAACGTTTAGCAGCAATTACCGGAATGTGGAGTTTAGCATACTGTGGTGTTGACTATGGGATGCCAAATCAAGTAATGAGGCATTTCTGCTGAAGAAAAACTGCCAGAGGCATGAAGGATGTAGAGGCAGAACCCAATATGCATTTTTTTTTTTGTCTTGAGTCTGAATTTATCTTTCGAGTTGTTGTGAAGAATTAGCTTGTTAAAAATAAATAGACAAATAAAACAATCATAATTACTTACCATTTCAAAAATCTAGTGAAAAAGGTGATAATTTCAAGAGCAGGAGCCAAGTCTGCAATAGGCAAGTTCAGGGTATGGATTTTTAACTATTAAAGAGAGAGTTAAATGAGTATACCCATCTGCACATGTCCAATACAGACATGTGTCTTCTGGGATACTTAAGAGGAAATATGGAAAAGTATGGTTGCACATCCAAGTAATTTTTAACCAGTGAAGGGAAGGATGGGGGATGGAGAAGTTAGAGAGCAGCATCCCAACTGGATTTGCATGGTAATAAAATTCCAGATTTTCCCCTGAGGATCTTCATCTCTGAGATGTGGAAATGCATCATGCTGGCTTACAAGGCTGTAAGCAAAGTTCATGCTAATGCCTAGATAGGGGCACTTCCCTGCTGAAGGATCAGTCAAAGCCACGTGCTCAGTGATAGGCTGAGCACAGCCATCCTCTCTCCCATCCCCTTCTCCTGCTCACCCCACAGAGCTGCCTTCCTTCCCATTCCTATTGCCTACTGCTGGTCTAGAAGAATTTCTTAGAGTCTTGAAAGAGACCTACCAACAGCCAGAAATATATACATGCTCTATGACCTACCCCCACATCCATGGTTAAGTACGGCTTTGTCATAGTTCTCCAGGAAGTCAAAATTCCAGCTGATCTTTTATTCTCAGCTAGTTGTCAGTCTGTGAATGTCAGCAACCAGCCATGAGATATCATCTCTAATGTTTAGGCTCAGAGAGGAAAAGGGGAACAAGTCCTGAATTTAGGGAGCAATACCAAGGACTCTGGCATCTAAATGGCTGGTATCTAGTGCCATTCCAGATGTTGCTGAGGTTATTCCAGCCTTCAGCTCTGCTCCAGATGGGTGGGTGGATTGTCGGTATTTCTGCATCATCCCTTCCAGAACACCGCAGATGGCTTGGATGCCTTGGGAAAACTTGAAAGCACTACCTGCCTATGTTTGAACACCTATGTTTAAATTATTCCCTTCAAATCTGGTTCATCTGACTCTGCTTGTTGTTAGCCAGGCAACTCTTCACCCTGCAGAAAGCCCCCTGTGCTACCTAAATCCTCTCTAGTTCCCAAGTTTTTAAGGACTTATACTCTGGATCATTTTCCACTTAGGTTTTCTGTTATCTATCTTCTTACTTGTGCAAAATAGTATAAAAATATTTTTCTAGTTGTTTCCATTCACCTCATGCAGATGTAGTGTGTGCGTAACAGGTGGGGATTCAGTGCCAGGTGGGGTCAAATTAGACCTATGGTTTCCACCCCAGAGAAAATTTTCCAGGGACTTCCCCCTACAATTTCACAGGACTTCTCTGTACTCACCTCTCATCACTTGGTTACAGTCAGAAAGAAGTGGTTGCTCCACTGGGTGAAGTGGAGCTCCATAGGGCTAGATCTGTAAGACAGTTTTCTCATTTTTATTTGCAATTGAGAAAAGATGAATGAGTATATGGAAAACTTCACCCCACTTCTTCATAGATGACATTACTTTTCCCATGCCATGGCTTCACAGCTAGGCTTTGCCACATCC